AAAAACTGAAAGACACGTGAGGTGTGGCAAGAAAATCAAAACTTGGGGAATCTGGCAAATGAAGTGGAGTGAAATAACGGATGCCCAAGTCTGGAATGGTATCAGTGTAATTAGATGTTGCGGAAGAAGAGAAGTTGAGAGCAGGAAAATAACGGGAATATGAAATGGCGAAATCGGCCTACAAAAACTGTATTAACTTGGGGAGGAAAAAAACGCCTAAACGTTTGAATTTTGGATGATCTGTTTACAAAGTATAACACAAACAAAAGCATAGAAATGTAGAAATGAATGGGAGCGATGTTTGCGTGTGTCTGAGTAATGAAATACACGTTTTCTAGGACGTAACAGATTTCCTTGGAGAATTAAATGCATGAGAACAAAGACCCGAGGGTGAGAATAAAACTTTGAAGAGATTTTCTTAAGCACTCGAGCAAGAAATATTAGAAGTGTGTCAGAGAGACTTTGACTAGGACCATCGATATAAAATGAGAGGATGGGAGCCAGAGCGAATCTGTCCTCAGCTGGTTTCAGAACATGAAGTGAATATTCAAGTATATGAACGATTAAGAGACTAAACAGGTGGCCAATTTAGTTTAACACGACCTCCTCCTCCCTGTAAGTGCTCACCAACAATCCGAGAAGCCTCTTCGAATTGATGTTTGTCTACGGCAGCCACTGATCATAATCTTAGGCGATTTATATGTTTCATGAAAGGTATAAATGAGAAGGAATATCTTCACAATACAAGAGACGTATTTGACCGGTTTTGAATATATCTTCGTCAGATATACATGTATTTCTGACGAAAATATATTCGAAACCGGTCAAATACATCTTTTGATTATGATGTATTTCTGACGAAGAAATATTCGAAATCGATCAAATACATCTCTTGTATTGTGAAGATATTCTTTCTCATTCATACTTTTCTACATTTGTCAACATGAATTTGATTCATTATATATTTCAATTATCGACATTAAGCATAATCCTGAGCTGCTACGATGAGGTTCGTTTGCATTACCTAAATCATATGGTCTTGCGCCAGATATATGAAACATTAGACATAGATGGCAGGAAGTGGGAAAAATGCTCTATGATAATTCAACTTAAGGTATCTATGTCAAACTGCAACTTATTATCGCAGTAGAAAAGTTTAATTGTCCTAAACTCTCCTAATCTACATGACCCTAATCCTTGTTGATTAATTATGGAGTAAAATGGTTGGCAACTTTCTCTTTACCGGTAACATGACATAGGTTACTCCTTCATGAGATGCTGCTCAGTAAAACGAGTGGCAATTGAAAGAGCCTTGAGAGGTGCTTCCATTGACCCCATCAGTGTCATCAGCCACGTTCCAGTTTTTCGCTCTTTCATTGCATTCTCAAGAAAATAATTCATGCTAAAGCTTACACCGTCGTTTTTTAAGAGCTGCGATGCTCCAAGAGTGTGCAGTACTTTAACAGACTTTGTTATAGCCGATCATGGCCATGCCAAGACTTTACAGCGAGTGGCCTATATTTCTGTTGATTTGTACTTTCTGTTTGGACCTTCATTGGACACTACTATGCCATTAGACATTGATTTTGTCTTGCCTCCATTCACTGACCTCTTCTACAGGACATGTCAACATTTAGTTCTTCCTGTAGTGTTTGATCTTACAGAATCTAGCAAAGGCATTGTTCGCAATGATCTGATTAGATAAAACGTTTTTTTTTTTTTTTTTCCTGATTCTGATCTCGTTTTTTTCACTCTGCGATTCTGATGGACATTTAGTTCGCAGTACTTCACCATATTCTTATACAAAACATTGAAAGAGTAGTTGTCTAACCTGAATCTCGTAAGCCTCATCCTCTCTGCCCTTGTTTGGGGATAACCAGGTGTTTGTAAGGTTAGCATGTCGAAATCATTCTAAACCTATGTCAATCTTACCAGTTTCCAGAGCAGTGAATCACCTCTTGCTGTTGAGGAATCTGGTGTTGGTGAGCTGTTTGTGTCCCACATCTGGACGAAGCACCGGATTTCTCTCTCGCTGGACTTGGAAAGCGCCGGCGATTTCACAGCCCGCAGCTTGTTGGAGGGCGAGACTATGGCGCTGTGGGGATTCTTCTCATTATCGTCATTATGATTGCTGCCATTATTGATGTTATGTAATCATTCTTGCCATTATAACTGTTGGCTTTATTTTTGTTATCAATATTGGTATCATTATTTTTATTATCATCATCATATCCGAATTAAGTACTCATTCTTGCCATTTTAACTGTTGACTGTTTTTGTTATAATTATTGGTATCATTATTTTTATTATTATCATTATATCCTAACTCCTTTTTTCCATTCACTATTATTATCATTATGAATCCCGGATTAAAGAAGGAAAATTCTGAAGGCTTTACATAACCTGAATAATAATCAAATATATTGCGAAGATCGGAAAGACGAAACAGATTGTTTATATTTAATATATATTTATGTATATACATATTATATATATATAT